CCTTGATGCCAAACTTCAAGTTCTGCAAGTAGCTTAGAACTTAACCTAGATTGTTTATCAGAGAATTAGTGAAACATTTAATTAGTGAATCGGTAAAAGATAAAAAGGGCGCTTTTTTTAAACCTTAATAACTCAAGAACTATAATATGTAGTTTTTTCATGAAATAAAGGATTCTAGATAGTCATAAAGTCTTTATTAGACTTTCGAAATTACAAATGTGTAGGTCTTAAAGTTTTTGAGTTATGAAGTGTCGAAAAGTGAATTTAAAGGATTCGTGTAAATATAAACTCTACTGTGTGTCCAGATAAAATAAGTACATCACATATTTATTTTGCTTTTTGATGTTTGCCGTGTGTACTAAAAAACGAGAAATAAATTAAATATGGTACAAGCCTACTGGTGAATAATGTGAGGAAGCTTGCGCCTTTTTCTTACATAAGAACAAAAACAATTAACCATTGTTTTAGTGCGAGCAATCGATATGTTAAAACACACAACTCTAAAGAACTTGTTGATACAGATGTTAATTAAGTACTTTACATATTATCAGGCGTGAAAGAGATAGAATATAGATATTTATATTTTAAATGTTTATTTTTTTGTTAACGCTGTTACATTATTCTTAATTATTAACTACATTTTGCTAAAGATGGCGGATGTCATGGTAGAAACAGTCTCAACAGACGACGAAACATTCAATGAAGAAAAGAAATGGAAACTATTTTTGAAACAGGTTTGTGTATTTTTTTTTGTATTTCTTCTAAAATAAGGGTGACAAAGGAGTACACAGAGCACCTGATGGTTATATCAGTTGCTATCAGGATGGTGCTGCTGCCCGTCTCTTATTTTATTACCTTTTGTGTCTCTTATGACACCCACGGGATGATATTGGCTAATAAATAATTGGATAATATTGGATTCTCTTATATCAACACTACATGGCAGTTTTTTTTATATAATAAGGTGAAAAACATACGATAAGTGGATACTGTAACCCTTAAATATCTACATTTAGAGACCCAAGATCGAGTTTGCCATTTACTCTTGGTTTTTATACTAAAAAGTAGTAAATATAAAAACTTTTGACTAGGCTCCTGACGCAAGTTTATGCAACGAGATGGAACCTACCAACGGGAAGAAATGGGTTGATAGATTCCCTAATGCCGCCACCACATGATTAGTTACCAACATTCAATTGCGTGCTTACAAATTTTACTGATTTCCATGTTGCCTGTAATTACAGGTGAATCAAACCAAAGCCTTTTTATGTAAAATCTATACTATATAATATAATAGAGCGGAAGAGTTTTTTGTTTTTTTTTGTTTGTTTAAACGCGCTAATCTCTGGAACTATCAGTCCGATTTGAAAAATTCTTTTTGTATATTATAGCCATGTGGAATAGTATAGGCTATCTAGCATTAAGCTATATCACTCAGCTAGCTTTAAATATGGATATTTGTTAAGCAAGTCAGAAGAAAAAGCACTCCCGAAATGATTTATCTGCGTACGCTGGTGTTATCGTTAGGGATACGTAAATACAATGTTCTAGAAAAATATAGATCTTTACTCCGTCTAAAAAAAGTTCGCGATACCATATGTCTATTTCTTATATACATGAGCCATAATTAGGTATTATTGAGCAAAAAAATTTTGAAAATTTAAAAGTGATTTATGAGCGTTATTATTAGGCATGGCCTATTTATCCTTACGAACGAAAATTACTTCATCATCAAGACAATTTTATGAAGATAAACTTTGTTCTTTATACCATGTTATTTGGACGCTATGCGTCCAAATAATATTTAAGAGATAATGTAAAATTAAAATAATTCAATACTTGGCGGGGCGCGCGAATGACACATAAACCCTAGCCGCCCGGTGAGAACTGCGAGAACTGCTCAACCGGAAGGGGGAGGGAAAGTGGATAAAACTTAACTTCACTCTACATCATACATAATATGCCGACAGATAAAAGTAATAATTTCCCAATTTTCCCATCCATTGCTATCAAATAAAATATTTAATTGCAATTATAAAATGCTTGAACTAGGTCATGTCGCGCACCTCCGACACGTGATAACGGGGTGAAACCGCGGTGCACAGCTAGTGTTTAGATATTTACGAAACATAATTTTCGAAACATGTTTTCCGAGCGTGATGAATTTTCTTATCTCGCCAAAATAAAACTTCCTATATTATTTCTTTTCTAAATTTTCTCACCGTAAACATACTCAAATGAGGAAGCTCAAGGTCGCTCAGCGAGCTATGGAGGGGGTTATGCTCGGAGTTTCTCTGCATGATAAACTTAGAAATGAGATTATCTGCAGTAGAACCAAAGTGACCGACATTGCCCAACGGATTAGTAAGCCGAAGTGGGAAAGCAAAACCGACAAACAATCGGGAAAGAAGGTTCTCCAGTGGCAGCCGCGTACCGGTAGGCGAAGTGTAGGGCGCCCCCCCTAGATAAAGTGATGACCTGGTAAGACATGCAAGAAGTCAATGGACGCAGGTGGCTCAGGACCGTGCTTTGTGGCATTACTTGGGGCAGACCTGTTCAGCAGAAGACTTGTGAAGGGCTGTAATGATGATGATGGTGATGAAACATACTCAGAAGGCAATTTCAATTTGGACTTGATAGTACCTCTTTAAAAGTAGCATTATTGATAGTATCAAGCCTAAGATAGTATTTTAATGGTGCAGTAATTATAAGTTTTTTTTTATAGAATAAGGGTGACAAAGGAGCTCACAGTCCACCTGATGGTAAGTGGTTGCTGTGGCATAGATGTGGCGTAGACATCTACATCTATCTTCGTTTGTGAATTAAAATTCAGATGCGTTGTCAGCCGTGAGGCCTAAGATAGAATGCCTCTTTTCCAGTAAAAAGGGTCTCCGGTTCTTTACACTCATCATACGAAACACAGCAGTTTTAAGCTGCTATTTTACGCTGGTATTATGTGAGAGCGTGATTCTTCCCCGGTCGAGCCGATCCATTCGTGCTACAACTATACTATTAATATAGCTGCAGCATGGCTCTACCACGTAACACAAAATAAACACAGTAGCTCTCCCTTGATGTATTTAAATCATAATTAATTTTACTTTTTAGTTACTAGTTGTCAGTGCAGTATGGACTTCATATTTCATGTATGGACTTTGTCTGGGGTCTCCAACAGTATTTATTCCACAAATAAGAAAGTCAAATTCGAATGACACAATCAGCGACGAAATGGCATCATGGCTTTGTAAGTAATTAAAGGAGCATTATTTAATAGATATCAATATCATGTTTTAGTGTGATCATCACTATACATTTTTTTTCAGCGTCTGTTCATATCTTCAGTGGACTGCCAGCAATCATCTTACTATCATTTCTTGCTCAATACATAGGTAGAAAGAAAACTTTTTTAATCGTATGTCTTACTACTTTAACTGGGTTCTTGATGTTCTACTTCAGCAGATCAGTAACTGAAATATTAATTAGTGAAATCGTGCAAGGTTTTTTATTCGCATGTCAAATATCAGTATCGATGCTCATCGCCACAGAGTACAGTTCGCCAGTTTACCGAGGAGTGTTCTTGTCTATAAAAGTTGCATCATTTTTTTGGGGAATATGGATTGCAAACGCAATCGGAACATTTTTTAACTGGAAGAAAATTGGTATTTTAGGAATACTTTGTTCCATTTATACGTTAATAAGTGTAATATTCTGGCCTGAGTCACCATATTGGTTAGCTAATAAAAAACGTTTCAAGGAGTGTGCAGAATCACATAGATGGTTGAAAGGCTCCGGAGAAGAAGCGGAAAAAGAGCTTAAAGGCATGATTGAAACTGAAAGATATCTATTAAAAAAGAAAAGACTAAGGAACAATACAAGGTATACATTGACTGAACTTTTTGATATAATTTGTTCTAGAGAATTCTTCAAGCCAGTTTTACTATCTATGTTGATGTTAGCATTATATAATCTATCCGGGAAACTTGTTTGTAGTATTTATATTATTGATATTTTAAAAAAGATAACAGAAAACGAATCTACCGCATATGTGGGAATGTTATCCTTAGACGGAGTCACAGTATTAAGTATGTATATTGGAGGTGGCATTTCGAAATTAGTGAAAAGACGCACGCTTCTATTTACAACTACTTCCATTGCCATTGTTTTTTTGTTTACAATATCTTTTTACCTGTATTTAATAAACTTAGAAATCATTGTAGAGAACAAGTACTTTTCAATTTTATTGCTATCAATGTTCTCCATATCAATTGGCTGTGGTCCAATGAACATGTGTACTTCAATTTTCGGAGAGTTGATTTCGTTAGAATACAGATCTTCTACATTGGCCGTCATCGGTGTATTTGGTCACACAATGATGGCGATATTAGTTAAAATAGCTCCTCTTATTTTCAAAACATTTAAATTGCATGGTGCTTTTCTTTTTTATGGTTTATCAACATCCGTTTGTACATTACTTCTATATAAATACCTGCCTGAAACTAAGGATAAAACTTTGCAGCAAATACAGGATTCTTTAAAAGGTTATCAAAAGGAAGAAAAAGAAGCCACAGAATTGATGTGATATAATTATATTCAATTTTGGACGTTTTAGTTATTAATTTAAGACTATTAAATTTAAGTTCATGTAAGGAGAATAATTATAATAAATATATTTATCACCGCTTCTTATTTTTTTCAAATCCCACAAATACAAAAAATATATTGAGCAAATGCAAAATTTTTCTTTATACGTGTTTGGCATAATATATTAAAACTTATTTAAATTAACTTATAACGTGTGACTATTAATAAATGTACATATTGTATTTAAGTAACCTTTTTATCATACAAAATATGGCCTTAATCCGTAATCCTCGAGTGATTAGGCGGAGTCCAAAGAGTGTCTGTTCTACTCGTACCGCGTTTATTAGCACTTACCATTGGTCTGTGTGCCCGTTTGTCAATCTCGTTTGTGAAAAGTTTTATCGTTTTACATTTCTTACCTTGGGTGGACTTCCACTTGTAACACTTCTTCTCCGACCTCTAAGTTCTCTGGTATCCTAACGAACTTCAAGTATTCCCCCACGGGATAGAAGTTGCAACCTGGAAAGGAAAGAATATTGTTAAAATATTGTAGTAGTACAGTAATGTGGTAGAGCCATGCTGCAGCTATATTATGGTTGTAGCACGAATGGGTCGGCTCTACCGGGGAAGGACCACGCTCTCACAGAAAACCAGCGTAAAATAGCAGCTTAACGCTGCTGTGTTTCGTATGGTGAGTGTAGAGAACCGAAGACCCTTTTTACTGGCAAAGAGGCATTCCATCTTATTCCTCACGGGTGACAACGCATCTGCATCTTGAGTCTTTATTGAGGATAGATGTAGATGTCTATGGGTCACAGTAACCACTTACCATCAGGTGGACTGTGTACTCGTTTGTCACCCAATCCTATATAAAAAAAAATATTGTGTTGAATACGTTTCTAAAACAGAACTCAAAATAATGAGGCCTAGTAATTGTACACCTTCTAAATGTCACTAGTTTTGATTGAAGTGAACTTATTTGTTACAAGCTGCTCCCCACGACTTCCCAAGTTATTCCTTATAACATCAGCTATCTGCCAGTGAGAGTCCCGTTAAAATCGGTCCAGCCGTTTCGGAGATTAGCCGGAACAAACAGATATACAGACAGACAAACATTTAAAAAAATAAGTTTTTGTTATTATACCGTATATAGTATATTATGCATTTAGTAGAAAGCTGTTATTTTGACATTACAAACAGACACTTCAATTTTATTTATTTGTATAGATATAGATGTATGACATATAGTATGGCCGTGTAGTGGCGGTTAAGAATATCCACTACCCCATATCTTCCCGTGGGTGTCGTAAAAGGCGACAAAGGGAAACAGGCAGGAGATGGGCAGCAGCATCTTCCTGGTAACGGCAAAATACAATAAAAAACTGCGGTTGCCAACCCGCTCGCCAAGCGTGGCAACTATGGCAATATACCCCCCATAATGAAAGTTACGAAGAGACGGCCCCCAGTCCCCGGTGGCCCCGCTATTCCTGGCTACGGTGGCGACCATGGTAACGGCGGGGCAGGGGGTGCTAAGAATCTCCGGTGGAGGTTCGGTTGCCACCTACAACGACTCGACCTGGCAACATACAACGCACGCACCCTGAGGACTGACGAGAAGATTGTGGAGCTGGAAGAAGAGATAGACAAGTTACGCTGGCATATTATAGGATTATCCGAAGTCCGAAGAGAGGGGGAGGACACGGTAATCCTCGAATCCGGCAACTTGCTCTATTACCGGGAGGGCGACCATCTGTCCCAAGGAGGTGTCGGATTTATCGTCCACAAGTCTCTCGTTAACAACGTTGTAAAGATTGAGAGTGTGTCGACGAGGGTTGCGTACCTTATACTCAGAATCACCAAACGGTATTCGCTGAAGGTCATACAGGTTTATGCACCAACCTCGGCACACCCCGATCAGGAGGTGGAGGAAATGTATGAGGATATCTCTAGAGCCATGCATTCCTCCAAAACCCAATATACGGTGTTAATGGGAGACTTCAATGCAAAACTAGGCACAAGAGAGAACGGTGAGCTGAAAGTGGGGAAATTTGGAATAGGGCAACGGAACCCAAGGGGCCAGCAGTTGGCCGACTTCATGGAGAAAGAGGGACTCTTTATGATGAACTCTTTCTTCCAGAAGCGGCCCCACAGGAAGTGGACCTGGTCGAGCCCCGACGGTTCGACAAAAAATGTGATTGACTTCATTATGACGACCAGACGACAACTGTTCAGTGATGTCTCAGTGATCGCGAGGGTGAAAACCGGCAGCGATCACCGAATGGTTAGAGGCACACTGAACCTAAACGTTAAGTTGGAGAGGTCTCGTCTAATGAAGTCAACGCTCCGTCCCCCTCGTGCTCTAATCCAAAGTCCCGAAACCTTTCAGCTCGAGTTGCAAAACCGTTTTCAGTGCCTAGAAGACTGTAATGAAGTGGACGATTTGAATGACAAGCTCGTGGAAACTGTCCATGCGGTCGGAGCTAAGTTCTGCAAGACCCGCCGCAGAAGAACACAAAACTCTATGATCACACTCTTAATCTCATGGCTGTTAGACGGGAGATGAAGCTACATTCTTCAACAGATTTGACAGCATACAGGCAACTGAACAGACAGATCTCCAAATGCATGCGGCGGGACTTACGCAACTTCAATACAGCTCGTATTGAAGAAGCGATCGAGCGGAACCAAGGCTCCAAAGTCTTTGCCAGAGATCTGTCTGCCAGAAAGAGCCAACTGTCAAAGCTGAAGACCGAATGTGGCAGCATCGTTTCTGGGGCACCTGAGATTTTGAGTGAGATTGAGAGGTTCTATGGGCAGCTGTACACGTCATCGTTGGAGCCACACGCAAGTGTGAGTAACGATCAAAGAGCGAGTCCTATCCGACATTATTCCGATGATATCCCGGACGTCAGTCTGAGCGAGATTAGAATGGCTCTCCAGCACCTTAAAAACGGCAAGGCCCCAGGCCAGGATGGAATTACAGCGGAGCTTCTGAAAGCGGGTGGAAAACCGGTACTTGAAGTCCTTCAGAAGCTCTTTAATTCCGTCCTCCATGGTGGCATTGCACCGGAGGCGTGGAGCAGAAGTGCGGTGGTCTTGTTCTTCAAGAAAGGCGACAACGCTCTCTTGAAGAACTACAGACCGATTTCCCTTCTGAGCCGCGTCTACGTGCTGTTTTCGAGAGTCATTACGAATCGTTTCGCGCGCAGACTTGACGACTTCCAGCCTCCCGAACAAGCCGGTTTCCGAAAAGGCTTTAGCACCATAGACCACATACATACCCTTCGGCAAATTGTACAGAAGTCCGAGGAGTACAATTTGCCACTATGTCTGGCGTTTGTGGACTATGAGAAAGCCTTTGATTCCGTCGAAATTTGGGCGGTGCTGCAGTCCCTTCAGCGATGCCAATTTGACTGTCGGTATATCGAAGTGTTGAAGTGCTTGTACAGTAGGGCTACGATGGCTATCCGAGTACAGAACCAGAGTACGAAACCTATCCAATTGCAGAGAGGTGTAAGACAGGGTGACGTCATATCCCCGAAACTCTTTACCGCTGCATTGGAAGATGTTTTCAAGCTTCTGGACTGGAAAGGATACGGTATCAACATCAATGGCGAGTACATCACTCACCTTCGATTTGCCGACGATATAGTCCTTATGGCAGAATCGCTGGAGAACCTAAGCACTATGCTCAATGACCTCAATAGTGTTTCCCAACGGATAGGTCTTAAGATGAACATGGACAAAACAAAGATCATGTTCAATGTCCATGTCACACCTATGCCGGTAGTTGTTGGGAACACTAAGCTCGAAGTTGTTGACGAGTATGTTTACCTGGGACAAATAGTCCGACTAGGTAAGTCCAACTTCGACCGAGAGGTCAATCGACGGATTCAACTCGGTTGGGCAGCGTTCGGGAAATTACGGCACATCTTCTCGTCAGGTATACCTCAAAACTTGAAAACGAGACTGTACACCCAGTGCGTGTTGCCAGTGATGACATACGGAACTGAGACGTGGTCCTTCACTGCTGGCCGGATGAGGAAGTTCAAGGTCGCTCAGCGAGCTATGGAGAGGGCTATGCTCGGAGTTTCTCTGCGTGATAAACTCAGAAATGAGGATATCCGCAGTAGAACCAGAGTGACCGACATAGCCCAACGGATTAGTAAGCTGAAGTGGCAATGGGCCGGCCATATAGCTCGAAGAACCGACAACCGATGGGGAAGAAAGGTTCTCGAGTGGCAGCCTCGTACCGGCAGGCGAAGTGTAGGGCGTCCCCCCACTAGATGGAGTGACGAGCTGGTAAGATATGCAGGAAGTCGATGGATGCAGGTGGCTCAGGACCGTGCTTTGTGGCATTCTTTGGGGGAGGCCTATGTTCAGCAGTGGACTTGTGAGGGGCTGTAATGATGATGATGATGAGATGTAGACATAAAATGTCGTTATAATTGAGAAATTGCGTTTTAAATAAAAGTCTATCGGTTACTAGTATATCTACATAAATCAATGCCTCAGTGGTTTGCTTTTGATTTTGTAGCACATGTTTTACTATTTTCATAATTTCTCTACTTTTAGGAATACCCGTTAATTTGTCCATTTCTAATCTATTTAATATAAAATATAACTAATATTACATAAAGAAACATTAACCTTTACATTTTTAACATAAATCAACTACCCCCGCTATGAAGTCTGTCAAATAATTCACCTCATTTTTAAGTGGCGCCGCCCTGGTAACAGAAAAAGTCGTTGCAGTCGATGGATGCTCTCATTGCCCTACAGAAGAGATGTCACTTATAAAAGACGAAAACATAACCAAGTGAAAATTAGAATAAGGTAATCTTTCATGTAAGCATTTTTAGTTCCTTGGTCTTTTTCTGTATAATAATAATAATAATAAACTCGAAAGGGGAAGGATTGCTAAATCTGAGGTCATAGACTTGTCTATGCTTGTATATGAATTTGCGATGTGTTTTATGCACGCTTGACAAAAGTGCTTAACAATCTTTTATCGGGCGTTAATAAGACACACGCATATAACGGTTGCATCATGCCTGTAGTTATGTATGCATTTGGCATACTCAGGTGGAATCAGACCGAACTGAACGCTCTGGATAGAAAAGTCCGCACTATTATGACCTGCCGAGGGCTTCCATCTGGTTGGGTTTTTATTTATTTATGTATTTATTTTATTTTGTTGATATTTATGTATTTTTATCATTTTCATTTACAGCCCCACCAGATGATCAAACTATGTAGATACTCTACATAATAATAATATTGTTAACTTTGCAATACAAAGTTAACAATATAGCCTTTCTAATCGACATAGCTATACCAAATACGTATAATATTAAAAAAAGGTTAGTAAATATAATCAACTAAGCCAATAAATTAAAAGAATATGGAAATTAATTAAACTTTTCATCGTTCCAATTGTACTTTCAGCTACAGGATTAATACCAAAATATTTGCATCACTGTCTAAAGTTATTAGATTTACCCAAACTTTATATATTAAAGTGCAAAGAGCAGCTATTTTAAATACATGTCGCTTAGTGAGAAAAGTTTTAGAAAAATAAGTTATATCAATATGTACGACGACAGCAATCAGTTAAGAAACTTGAATGTCCCACCCATGCATTAGGATCCAATGCCTCTGAATGGGACAGTCAAATCTATCTTGAAATATCCTCAAGACACTATCTGAGCTCTTCCGTAGTCTGCATAACATTGACGCAGTTCACTTCCTTATAATGCTATAAAATCGTCAAGTAAATAGAATTTTGTACATGTATCCAAAGTGTCAGAGTGTAATTAAAACACGGTTACAAAATTTGTCATACGATTATACGGAAAAGTTGCTGTACAAGTTAATTTATGATTATATATTTAAATTTAATTACCCCAAATTAGTTGGTAATTTATTCAATTAAATAAAAAAACAGATAATATTCTGTAGTCTATCTTCTAACACACACCCGAGATAAAGGTGTATTCTAGTTCAGGTACATTGTTGTAGGCTTTAGATAAATGTACCTAGGCAGGTCATAAATTCTGTCACATGTTTAATATAAAATAATTGAAACAAGTTTATTCATTATGTAACCATTTATATACCAAAATGAACTTAACAAAACATAGATTCTTATGACACTAAAGTTTATTCAAAATGACCTCCGTGATTTTGAATACAGGCCCTCAACCTGCGCGGCCAGTCGTCTATCGCAGCACGAACGAGGTCCATGTCAATATCGGCGGCTGCCTTAATCAAGGATGTCTTGAGTGACTCCAAATTGGGATGAGGCTTTGAGCACGCCTTTTCCTCCAAGTGTTGCCATATCTTGTAATCTAACGGATTCAAATCTGGACTGGACGAGGGCCAGTCTTCGTGCCGGATGAAGTCGATTTCACGCACCGCCAGCCAGTCTTATGGGCTCTTCGCTCTATGAGCTGGCGCCGAATCTTGTTGAAATACCCAGTGCCTGTTATTGAACATGGCATAAGAAACAGGTTCCACAAGGTTCGTCAGGACTGTATTTTGATACACAACTGCATTCGTTTTTACACCTTTCTCACAAAAATGTACCTCTGTTAAGCCCCAATAAGAAACTCCCAACCATACCATGAGCGAGGATAGAAAATGACCTCGTTGGACTCGCGGAATACGGTTGCTCGCTTCTTCACTACTGTGTGCGTACACCTTATCATTTTGTTTGTTGTAGCTCTCTTCTACGGTAAAAATTTTTTCATACGAAAAAAGAATTTCCCGATATTTTTTTCCCGCGTACCGCTTCAACAAAGCGCGGCATCTCTTCAGTCTCAGGTCCATTAGACGAGCATTCAAACGATGTCCTGTTTTTCTTCGATATGCCCGAAGCCCTAAGTCTTCATTTAACACCCTTTTCACCGTGGTTCTGCTTAACCCCATCTGAAGGGCCAACAGTTTCTGCTTACGTTTGGGATTTCTTTGAATTCGCGCCTTCACAGCTTTTATCACTGCTGGAGTCCTAACAGACCGAGAGCGACCACTTCTTGACCTGTCATCTACACTAGAGTCTTCATTGTATCGTTTGATGGTACGATAAACGAATCTTTTGGTTTTAATCTAATTTTTCAGTGTGTCAAAAATTTGAATTGGCGCGTAACCGCAACGATGCAACGCAATAACTGCAACACGGTCTTTAAGCGTCCACTCCATATTTAAAAATGAGTAAAATTCTAAAAAGTATACAGTTTTATTTTCATGATCAATTCGAAATTCGAATTCCATAAACTTTTTTGTGGCCAGCCTTCTAAAAGAAAAGTTTTTACTGTGTGACAATACTTATGACCCGACTAGGTAATTTTTTAAACCGAATTGACAAACGAAATTATAGTCAACCTGATGGTAAGTGACTACAGCCATCTTCAAGTAAGGCTACATGAGCGTTGTCACCTCTGAGGACTAAGATGGAATGCCTGTCTGTAATGATGCCTATGTCTGTAATGATATAATGTAATTTTTGCCGGCTTAACGGTATGCAGCTTAATATTAAAAAATGTTTTGTTATAACGTTCACTAATAAGAGATATAAACAGACTTATGACTATAAAATTAACGAAGATTCATTAGACAGGAAAACGGTAGTTAAAGACCTAGGTGTGCTATTTGAATCTAAATTAACATTTCGTGAGCACTATGCGTACATTAAAAACAAAGCATTCCAGTTACTAGGTTTCATAACGAGATGCACTAAGGGCTTCAAACGGCCTCAAAGCTTCCTGACCGTTTATTTTAGTCTTGTTCGTAGCATTCTTGAATATGCTTGTGTCATTTGGTCTCCCTGCAACATGATCCATTCAGATAGTATAGAAAGCGTCCAAAAAAGAACTCTCAGAATACTTAGCTACAAATGTGGGTTTGCTCGTAATCTAGTTAGTTATAGTGAATTACTCGACAAATTTAAAGTGACCACCTTACTTATTCGCCGTAAGGAATATGACCTTATACATTTACATAAAATTCTCCATAATAAGATTGATTCCGATTACCTCTTAAGTAAATTAAACTTAACTACAAAGCGCAATCCCCGAATTCCTAGCAAGACATTTTACCTGCAGACTTATAAGAATAATACTTCCTTTTATAACCCGATAGTAAGAATGTGTCGACTTTACAACGAGATATCCATGAAAAGCTCCGGCATGGATGTTTTTGACCCAAGATCCAGGATATTCAAAAGAGCAGTGAAACAGTATACGAGTACACTTATGCACACTCTTTCCCATATCACATAGGTTTTAAGTTTCTTATTTGTATATTTTTATTTTTTTGTTTACTGTAATTATGTATGTCATAAACATTGCAAAGCGTAGAGTTGATCTCCTGTATTTCATATAAAAATGATGTGTCAACATATTTAGGATAACAATGTGGCACAAAACTGTTATATTTATATTATATTGTAATGTATTTTGATTGTTATCTGTTTTGTTGTCCATATAATAAATAAATAAATGATACTGACTCTTTATACCGTACAGACTGGACGGAACACAGGAATGATGGTTATATTATGCAAGACCGAATTTTAGGCAGAAAAGAAGTTCTACCACGTGCTTTGCTTAAATCCATTGCACAGTTTATTGAATTAAAAATAAATAGTCAATCATTTTATTAATTATTTTTAAAAATATACATGCATATAACTGGAATATTTTAGAAAGAATAATTTGCAATTGAACCAACATATCTTTTATAATGCAACACCGAAATTCTTAAATACAATCATGTATACAGCAAAGACAATGCAAGTAATACTCCCATACTAATGAGTCCAGTCCTATGCCTCAATAGGGTCGAATTATTCATTGTTTCAAAATCGCCAATTGTCTCTGAGTTAGACTGTTTTAAAAGTGTATGCTATTCTCTTGTCAGATAAAGTAGCGAAAAAATGTGTAGTGATGGATTGGTTTAGGTTCCCAGTATGAGAAAATATCTTCGGTAGAAACTATGCTTTTCTCGCCACACCATACATTTTAGTTGGTCTCTTTTTGTCTAGAAATTCGTCTTGGTATGTACTACACTCTTACCTATGCCTAGTACTAAACAATACTGCCTGCACTGATGTGTTCTGGTCTAAAGTGATAAGTGAGCCAGTATGAAGCCACATGGATAATGTGAAGAGTCGACGCTCCGGGAAGTCTGTGCAGTTTGTGAATATGTACAGTATTGCTACCGTCAATACATCACATTTGATAGATAAGCACAAATTCCCGCTAAAGAATACTGATTCGTTCCGAGGATGATTTCAGAGGCTATTGAAATCAAAATACATCCTGATTTCAACAGAGAAGATGGCTGGATTGTACCATCTGCTTGGGATTCTATTCATAAAATTCGATCCTAACCCAAACATACAACTGCAAGACTTCAAGATACTATAAGTTCGAACTGCGTAGATCGGACCAAAAATTAATAATTTAATCTGAAGGTAGCCGTGATTAACTATGACACTGATACGTCGAATACCTCAGTCCCCTCCTCCCTTCCCCATGACCTGTTGTACTGTAAAGTAGTTGAAATGTCGGGAATTTGAAATAAGTTATTATATTATACCACGGGGAGTGCTCTGAGCAATTGTTCGGATTAATCCCAGCCGCCAAATTTCACGAACGCACATCGTGGCAGAACTCCCGATACCATCCACACCATCTGGATGATAGGCGGTCCACTACTGTGCGATTTAGAAGATGTTTTCTTCCTCGCACGACTTCTTTGTGGAATCGATTACCATCAGCGATTTTTCCGGACCGATACGACTTAGGGACCTTCAAGAAAGAGCGTACTCCTTTTTAAAAGGCCGGCAATGCATCTGCAATTCCCTCCCTGGTGTTGCAGTTGTTCATGGGCGGCGGTAGTCACTTACCATCAGGTGAGCCGCATGCTCGTTTGCCCCCTCTCCTATAAAAAAACGCGATAAAATCCGTAACATTTAGTTATTTTAAATGTGTAATACCTCGTAAGATATGCAGTAAGTCGATGGATGCAGGTGGCTCAGAACCGTGCTTTGTCGCATTCCTTGGAGTAGCCCTATGTTCAGCAGTGGACTTGTGAAGGGCTGTAATGATGTTTTTTTCTTTAAAATACTAGTAATTCTATTAAACATTACCAATATTCCCTTTAACCACTTCTGGTAACCTTAAAATGCTTGTGTTAGAAGTGGTTCACAACAGTAGTCGAATGGCGGATTCGAATCCACGACCTTTCGAGTTCGTGGTCCACGACCTGCCATTAGGCTACTGACGCTTCCGCGCGACATGATGATGATGAAATGTGTAGCGTTTGCGTAGACATAAGAAATCATTTGGCCTGCTGCATTTTAAATTGAAGGGTAAAAGAAGCCAGAATATTTCCGAACTGAGAGGCCTTCCATTTCCGTCCTCAAAGATTACAAAGCCTAGCCTTCAACATAGCCTTCTTTGTTTGAAGTCTGTTGCAGATTTTCATGGACTGTAGTAGCTACTTGGTGTGTGTGTTCTTTAACACACTGACACACACACACGCACGCATTGAGCAAGTTGTTAATTAAAATGATAAAGGCACTAAAAATTGCTATCAACTATGTCATTGGTGCCGACGAGGATCGAACCTAGGTTACTCGCGTAATGTAGTATAGTTATGTATAAAAGAGAAATTTTCAGGAAACCACATAATTGAAATTAAACGATGCCGGATTTACTTTCGATTTGAATAATCGTCAACAACTTAAAACATCGCCGTAATTTAATTTGTAGTGGATGCGGACTTGAAATGGGGTATAATCAAGTTTAAACTAATTAAATAACTACTAGGTATATAAAAAATGTTCTTTTAATGATAATTCGAAATATCAAAAATAATCATTTTTGATATTTCGAATTTATGACTTTTTTTGTTTCACTCTAAATCATTATTCTATATATAAAATTTATTACTACCTCTTGTTATTTATCACGTATTTGAAGAACCAATACGTGATAGAGTCATGCTAGAGTTATATTGTAATTTTAGTACGAATAGGTCGGTACGACCAGGTAAGGATCACTCCCTCATAGAATACCAGCGTAAAATAGCAGCTTAATACTGCTGTATTTCGTATGGTGAGAGTAGAGAACAGGAGATCCTTATCACTGGAAATGAGGCATTCCATGTTAATCCTCAGGAGGGATAGTGTGGTTCTTAACCGAAAATAGATGTAGATGTCTACGGGCCTCAGTATTTATTTACCATCGGATGGACTGTATGTCCGTTTGCTTCTTTTTAATAGAATAACTATTAAAAAGAACAACACCGGCAGAAAGGTGTTGATTAGGAATTCTCACAGTTATTCCGTTTGAACTAGTAAAGGAATAGAAGCCAATTATGTAACAAATTATATCATGCCACTCTATTTTAGATGATATCGATTAAAGTAATAGGCTGATTAACGATGAAATTTGATTTCTACCATCGATTTCGTAATCCATTTCCATTTTGCGAAAAGAAAAAGTCGTTCAAGCTTCACAGCGTTCAATAAATTCCGACAATTACAATATATAACAAGTTTTTTTTTTATTTTACTCTCATTAAAATGTATGTTTTAAAATTAATAATATTAAATATTGGCAATATATTTTTACTAAAGACTTTTTGTCATGTTATTAATAGTTTAACTTACATGTATGCTTGTATGGAATGAAATTTCATATTTACGTTTTCACGCACTACCGAATATCTGAGTTGTCTGACAACATCGTGAGAAAATAACATGTCTTAGAAATATTTTATATTAATATCTTATTTAAAATATACAAGGTATGTTAGGCAAAGAATTAGAAATCTATAATAATAAAAAAAAAACTAAAACTAGAAACTTAATTATCATATAGTCCTACTCCCCGCGGTATCGTGCCAAGAACGCTCGCTGCTTTTCCCCGCTGAATGGCTATACTTAGCCTTTGAGCGAGAAAAGAACCAGCCCTCTTATCACCAGCAGCAACGACCAGCCGCGGATAGAGTTCCTTTAAGAACTTCACCGCACGTGGACCTCACGGATGGATAGTCTCTACAGCAAATGGCACAAATATGTAGTCATCTCTCAAAGACTCATACTTGCGCCACTTACTCAGTTCAGCTGCCTCTGATGCCGCCTCGGCTCTAAACGAGGTACCCTTGAGATGAGAGGCCGCCAGAGTGTCTACGCAAGTAGCATCCCACACTAGGGCTTTACCTCTCTCCCAAGGGACCAATGTCATACCGTCGAGTCTCTTGCCATCGTCTCTAAATATTCCACAAGGCTCTAAAACCGAGGGAACATTTATAGAGACAAGAGCCCTTCGGATGACATCGTTCAAAGAACTGTGTCGTGAAAACCTACCAGCGCTTTTCTCACATGAAAGTCCGTGGAGACCAAACTTGTCAACGCTGCTACCACAGGGGCACTCATGGGGTTGATAAAGCGCCGCTCTTAGTCGGATTCCTACGGCAATACGCAAGCTGTCCCCATCAAGTAATGTGCCGAGATTACTTGATGGTAAAGCGTGTAACCAGTGACTAGATTCCTTAGTCGAAACAGCTAGAAGGCGTGCCTTATCTTGGTCACTATGGAAATTATGAAACAAATCTTTCTGTACGCCCCCAATAACCCACTGTTTTTGTTGGTTAACTTCCAGTGCTACATTTTCACCGGGACAGAGTGTTTGCCATGTCTGCCCTGCCTCCGTAGCAAAGCATAGGTCTACTTTATTATTTAAAATTATGTTACATAAGTCACTGACACTATGCACGGAAGCAAGGAATGCAGGCAATGCAACACTAGAAAGATTTCTCACACCAATGCCACCAAATTTTATAGGTAAAGTAGCTTGAGTCCAGGCTGTTGTATTTAAAGTTAAATTTAGAATTTTTTCTATAGCTATTTTAAGATTATTATCAACATCTTTTAAAATATCCGAACATTTCCAGACTGGACTCGAGCGAAGTAAGTATGTAAATCTAGGTACAAGGAGACAATATTTTAAAATAGTAAGAGCTATGTGGGGGTTTAATTTATACAATTTATCAACGTGGTTTAAAAACTGATCAAATTTTGTTTTTAAAACAGGTTTAATACTATCGAAAAACAACGGGGTACCTAGCAGGTATAGTGATTCCGTACTGACAGTTTTTATTCCTGGAGAAACATGTGAACTGATGATGACAGCATTATAAAAGGAGAAGAATGTGTGTTAAAGAGATGGAAAGAGTATTTTGAAAGTTTGTTTGAAAGAGAGGAAGTGCAGGTACAGCATCTACCACCTTCCACGGAAACTAATATAAATGTTGATGAAAATGAGATAAGCATGGATGAAATAGTGAAAGCGTTGAAAAGTATGAGATTAGGTAAGGCTGCAGGGTATGACAGGATTACCGTCGAGATGCTGAGGGCTGGACAGGGCCTGGTGGCTAGTCAGCTGTACCGCCTTTTCAATCTGTGCTGGCGAAATGGGCAAGTACCGGGAGACTGGTGCAAAGCCGTAATCGTGCCATTGTATAAGGGAAAAGGGTCACGGCAGGACTGCATAAATTACCGCGGTATAAGCCTTCTCAGCGTCGTCGGTAAATTGTATGCGAAAGTGTTGATTGAAAGGATTGTGAATGAAACAGACAAGAAAGTATGGGATGCACAAGCGGGATTTAGAAAGGGAATGGGGTGTACGGATCAGGTCTTTTCCTTGCGGTGCATAGCCGAAAAGTATTTGGCTAAAAACAAGAAAGTCTACTGCGCGTTCGTAGATCTAGAAAAGGCCTATGATAGAGTGGTGAGGAATGAATTGTGGTCAGCACTGTCCGTGAACGGTGTGAGCAGCATCCTCATACGAGCAATGCAATCTCTTTATAGGGATTCTAGTGCTTGTGTAAGGATAAACGGGGCATACACTGAATGGTTTAATATCGAAAAAGGTGTTAGACAGGGATGTGTAGCGTCACCGTGGCTGTTTAATCTGTTCATGGACAATTGTTTGACAGATTTAAAAGAGAATGAAAGTGGTTTGAGAATGAATGAGTTACTCGTCAAATGTTTTCTCTATGCTGATGACCAAGTATTACTTGCGTCTTCGGCCGAGGAGTTGCAGGAGATGGTAACTGCTATGAGTGGAGCTTTTGTTAGAAAGGGAATGAAGATGAATGTAAGGAAGACGAAAGTGATGGTGTTTGAAAAAGATGAGGCAGTGACAGACTGCAACATTGTGATTGAAGATGAACAAATTGAACAGGTGAAAGAGTTTGTGTATCTGGGTTCAAAGTTTACAAGAGATGGAAAGTGTGAGAGTGATATCGAAAGAAGAGTGAATGCAGGAAACATGGTGAATGGAGCTTTGCACTCCTTTATGAGCAGTCGGAAGGTGTCTAACAAGGCTCGTTTGGCTGTGCATGAGGGGGTGTTGGTTCCGACACTCATGTACGGAAGTGAAACTTGGGTATGGCAGAAGAAACATGAAAGCAGAATAAATGCAGTTGAGATGAGAGCATTAAGAAGTATGATAGGAGTTAAACTAAGTGACAGGCTAAGGAATAGTGAGATAAGGAAACGTTGTGGTCTGAAAGAAGATGTAGTGACAAAAATTGAGAAAGGTATGCTGAGATGGTTTGGCCATGTCGAGAGAATGAATGAAGAACGATTGACGAAAAAAGTGTATAAGGCGAGTGTGAATGAAAGTGTTGGAAGGGGTAGACCTAGGCGGACATTTCTAGACCAAATCAGGGACGTCTTGAAAAAAGGCCAGGTCAAGAGTACCCTAAACCGTAGAGCATGTATGAAGGGAATAATGAAAGTGGACGAAGCAAAACAAGTATGCAAGGATCGTAGCAAGTGGAAAGAACTGGTCTCTGCCTACCCCCACGGGAAAGAGGCGTGATTATATGTATGTATGTATGTATGTAGAAACATGATTGAAGTTATGAATTAAACTGTATCTATGAGAAGTAGGTAAATTATTGGAAAAAAATAATCCATATTTATTGCTATTTGGTTCAAGACCAATATTTTTAAAATTTCGAAAAATATGAGTAAGATCACTGAGGACGTCATCTGCTCTACCTCCCAGTATACCGTCGTCCAGGTACCACACATTCAGCTTGGATTTCAAATTTGAAATAATGGGTTGAATTCGCAAACTGAAAAATGCTGTACCTAGTGGGTCACCCTGCTGAACACCGACAGCAGAATCGATAACATGGTTTTCGTAAAACAAGTTAGTATTTTGACTATAACATTGCCAAATGTAATTATAAATTTCGGGGGTATTGTTAGCCACTTCTTTCAGCAAGGTTACCCTATCGATAGAGTTAAAAGCATTCCTTAGGTCAACCTTCACAAGAACATCTGCATCAGAGTTTGTTAAAAATGTACGCACTGAATGTACCACTGAAGTAAATACAACAGACTGCCACGTCTAAAATGTACAAAGGGCTGTAATGATGACGAATGATGATCTGTAAGTCGTTTGTAGCAACTGTCGATAAAAAAGTCAACAATTTTGAAAAATCGAGGACAATAATAGTTAATGACTTCAAATCGAAACACCATACCGTCCCATCATTTTGCGCTCAGGCAATTTCATTACGAAATGACAACTGAGCATCCGATAAGAAAATTTGCCACAGTCAGTGCTTTCAGATTCACCGTGACGACACTCAGTACAACCGACAGCGCGAATTTAATCAATAAGAAAATTTAAGGCCCATTGGTTAGACTGATTCAGTTGAGTAGCTCAACGTTGAAAAATCTTCACGCTTACTTAACTAAACAACTAAAGATAACTGTTTTTATTTTATTGAAGAGCGGGCGGGGCAAACTAGCATGTTGCTCATCCCATGGAAAGTGTCAACCGCCGCCCGTGAACAACTGCAACACCAGGGGAATTGCAGGTGCGTTGCCGGCCTTTTAAAAAGTAGTAGCTCGTTTCTTGAAGGTTCATAGTCGTATTGGTCCGGAAAAATCGCCGGTGGTAATCAATTTAACAAATATGATAGTGGGAATAGAATTACATAACAAGAAAATTGAAGGTCCATTGAAAAGACTGATTTAGTTGAGTAGCTCAACTTTGAAGAATTTTATTCACTGAACAACTAAAGATAACTGTTTTAAATGATTCTATCATATTATCAGCAGCTTTTTTTGAGTCCACTGATCTATTTGGTGATATCTTGGTCGTTCCCCGGTTGAGTCATAGCAGCAGGCTCTGCCGTGCATAAAATGTGTCGCGAGCAAAGGGTTAATGATCCGATGAGCGTCTGGTTTCATAATGGTAGAAAGGAAGGAGAGAAGAAAAAGGTGTGACTTTAGTATAGACTTTAGGTAGTAAGTCATAGTAGTTTTATTAATTTCGTTTACGTCAGACGTATGCCATCTATCGGAAGACGAAGGTGATATTTCTAGCATTTTCTATAGTCACCTCTTACGACATCTACGAGATAAAATGTGGTGATGGATTCTATTACGCCGTCACCGTACAGCAAATGTACTATGAAACTTATTCGCTTGATAATAATAATAATAGTAAGGGGTGGTTTTTCACGAAAAATGAAACAATTGAATTATTTATGCAAGTGAAATTTTTAATTAGTTTATGACGACGGCTCGTCTTAAATGTTACGTAATTATAATTAATTTCAATCCTTCATGGTATACCACATTTTTGTTTCCGTTTTTTTTTTAAGATTATAACTTAAATTAATTTTTGTTCTTTGCATTTCCTAACCTAGAGATATGACCAACATGCCAACAACACCACGCCGACCGCCAACATATTAGTTATTAAATTGCCATATTTCTTTTGTCGCGCTAAAGTGTTTATATAAAAATGGTTACTGCGAATTATCTTTAGAAGATAGACATATGCTGTCGCGGACTTTGTTAAGAACTTTTCAAGAGGAACAATTCAACCACACATTTTCTTGCAACTTTAACTTGATGCAGCACACGCTGCGGAAGATCGCAATAGTTTTTCCGACTTAGTTGACAAATATCATCATAACTTTTAAACATACTATATAGCCTATGTCCATCTGGATTAATATTCAAATAGGTGCAGTGGTTCCAGAGATTATCCTCCACACGAATACAAACCCAAAACTCGCACTCTCTCGCTATAATCCAATATATAAAAAAAATATTTTTGTTTGTTCGTATTTTATACGCTGGCATACCGTTCATTACATTGTAGTAAAACTTTTTCAATTTATTTCTTGCACTTGCACGAAGGTTATAGGCACAGTACAATTAATTTACAGTAGGTGGCGCGCATATCGTAACGACAAATTTATTTGAAAGTTATATATCATAATTCCATTTCAGTGAATGTATTACCATTCCTAATTATACAATATAACTCTTCCAAATTTAAAACAATATCTCTACAATTATTTTTTCTGAGGTTGCCACGTGCCAGGTACATGCTGTTATATAAATTAAAATCTACATTTAATCCTTTGAAAACATTTTATCTGAGAATTCTAAAATCGGACCTAATTGGTACAAACACAATGTCAACTTCAAAATACCGTCAGCATCTGTCAAAGGCAGAGAAGACGTAAATTTAAGTGTAATAAGTTGACGTGCTACGGCAGATTCACTCGTCATAAGTCATCCAAGTGTAACAAAATGACGTTCACTACATTACAGCTTTATGGACGTTTAACGTATGGACATAAAAACGGGGCAGTCTCGTGCGCGTTGCGTGCGCCGATGCGGATGCTTTAAATACCGTAAGTCATAGGATGGTACCTTGGGGTAATCTAGCGACACGTACCAGTCGTAAACTTGAAACAAATTATTTGGTCGGAGCTCTGCGGGCTCTTATTAACTTCCCATTTGCAAGATGCAATGTCCCGTACTCACTTTTTGCGAAAAAGTTTATGAACATTTAATTTTTTATGTTTCTTCTTAAACGGGTAGAGGGCAATGTCGGAAGTGATTTACGCCATATTACATCCAAAAAACATATAGATTTTATTGTGATATCGAAAAACTGTTAAAATAAATAGTTTTTGATGATTATTTCATAGATTATGAAACATATTAAATAGATTATGAAATATGTTTCATATTGTAAAAAAATTACGAACATAACTTTTTTGTCCAATGTCCTTATCTATCTGTATCCAGTTCTCCGCAGTCACCATATGAAAAACAGCATTATTCTGTTTTATTCTGTTTCAAGCTGGTATTCTCTAAGAACGTGGTCCTTCCCCGGTCGAGCTGATTTGCGCTACAACCATAATATAGCTGCATTGTGAATCTATCACGTATTTACTCTTCTTTAACTTTTTAATAAAATCGATTATGTAGTTTTTAAAAGAAAAAAAAAACTTATAAGTAGTCACTGCGCATCTTTACGACCGGGGAAGACAATGTCCTACATTTCATAAAAAGAAAAAGAAAGAAAGAAAAGAAAAAAGTTAAGGATTGGAAGTAACAATATGTTTAGCTAATCAAACGAACATATCATTCAAAAACCAACATTTCGTGCTTTTGAACAAGAATTGACTTCAGCCGGAATAAGTACCCAGGATCCGCAACGCAGTAGCCAGTTATGTCAAGCCTGGTTTTTGTGTTATCTGAATTATTATAGAGATAGTTACAAAGTGCATAACCTATATTGCATAGCTTATTGAAGTAACGTATCATTAGTCTACGACAACAAGGCCGCCATTTTGAGATAGATAACTGTAACAATAGCAACAGACGACTATAAATGTGGATTAAACCATCCATCTTGAGCTACATTCAACCCGTAATACAATGATAAGTCCTATCGATTCTATAATCTTAAAATTATAACCTTTGAATGTTCAAAGATTATATATTCGTAAAATCAAACAGCCATCGGAAATATAGATATAACAATTTTAGAGTAAATTGCTATTTGTTATATAACATTACAGCCTATTAAAAAGTCCACTGCTGAACATAGGCCTGCCCATAAATTGCCTCACAGGGAAAATATTTGCCGTAGCTGTCTCGCTTTGCAAGTGAGTTGGCAACCGTAGTTTTTTATATTTTTTTATACTTGTTATTAAAAAGACATAACTGCCCATCTCCTGTTTTGTTCTTTGTCCCCTCTTACACCCGTGAGATAATAATATGGTGTTTGGATATTCTTACCCCGCCACTACATGTGTAAAATAACTAGTAACACTGCTAACAATACTTATGTACTAACATTATTTAAGTTGTGACATCACCAATACTTCACATACTTACGACAGTAGTCGAATGATGAATTCCAATCTACGTCTTTCCAAATTTGCAGTCCGAACTCTTAATCATTATGCTACTGTTGTATATTACTCATCTATCTTTTTCTTTATTATTCCCTATCAGACCACTGCTGCCATAGACGTTACAGTTGCCTTATTAGGCGTTTGCTAGTGGGGACTAGTTTGATCGGGTTTGCGATACATTTGTTATGTTATATTTTGTATTTATTTGAACATGTTTAGATTAATTAAGAGTGTGTTCATTCTCATTTTTAATAAAGGATATTTTATGATTAAAAAGGCATAAAAAGAGGGTTTCGCGGATTTTCCTTTGCCGGGTGTTTCTTTAAGAAAATACCATGTCATTTTGAACACCTACAGTACTCTTATGTAAATGTGTTTACAATAAAATAATAAATAAAAAATATTCGCAGCCATTATTCAAATGCTATTTTTTATGAGAATTTAAGAATTTATAAAATAAAAATAACTTCCTGGAGCTGCATTCCTCCGCGCCGATAGAATTACAGACTTGGGATACCAATTTGAAATGAAAGCTATTATCGCCTCAGGTTAAAGTAACGGTTGAAAGTAAATGGAAGGAACTAATGCCTGGTTTCTGCATATAATTCTATATATATTAAAAACGTCTCGATTCATATTACGAACCTCTATATAGTGCTAAAAGTGCATGAAATTACCATTTAGAAAACAAAACTTGAGTTTAACAACTTACAAATTGCTTTGTTTCGATTTTAGTCGTCTCAAGTTTTCGATTTTTTTTTTATTTGATGACACCTTAAATGAGTTACAATGGGTTACTATGAGTTACAACGTGTGGAATTAATACCTTCTGGTATTCTCTACCAGTAAACTCAAACAAAATGGAATATTAGTAAAAACATGGTTTTTGTGACATATAATATTAACCACTACCTAAGTCTTGTAGGTGTCGTAAGAGGCGATAGAGGGAAACAAACCAGGAGTTAAGCAGCAGCGTTTTCCTGATAACCCCTTTGTCACCACTGAGAAACTGGTGGAATACCTTGATTCCAGTAAAAAGGGTCTCCAGTTACTGTACATTCACCATATGATGAAAAACAGCATTGAGCTGCTACTATATTATATGTTACAATACAATACAATACTCTTTATTGTACACCAAGAAAAGTTTAAAAAAAAACATAAAAGAGAACCAAGAAGAAGAAATAAATAAAAATAAAAAAGAACAATGGGTAGGGTGCACTAAAACAAAAAAAAATAAAAAAATATACAATCATGCATTAAAAGACAACATTCTTCAGGTAGATCAATCACCAAATTATA